TTTGGGCATGTTGTAAGGAGGGACCAGTCCTTGGAGAGGGACGTCATGCCTGGTAGGTTGGAGGGACAGTGCAAGAGAGGAAGGCCCTCGATGAGATGGATTGACTCAGTGACTGGGGTAAGGGACATTTCAGGTTGGCTCAGGATAGAGTAGTGTTCCGAGGTGTTGTACATAGGGTCACTATGAGTCACAAGCAACTTGATGGCACTTAACAACTCAAAATATGTATATATAAAATATATGCTTATTTATAATTATTATATAATATGTATTATTATAAGGTGCGTCTGATACAGGCTATGGTCTTTGCAATCGCTTGTTATGCATCGGAGGGTTGAACAATGACTAGGGAGAATAGAAGGAGAATTAATGCCTTTGAGCTGTGGTGCTGGAGAAGAGTTTTGAGGGTACCATGGACTGCTAGGAAAATAAACAGATTCATCCTGAAAAAGGTTAAACCAGGCTGCTCCGTGGAGGCAAGGATTCTGGGGCTTCGTCTGACATACTTTGGACATGTTGTAAGGAAGGACTGGTCCTTGGAGAGGGACATCATGCTTGGGACGGTGAGGGACAGACAACGCAGGAGGGGAAGGCCGTCTATGAGGTGGATTGATTCAGTGACTGGGGTAATTGGGATGGGAGTGTCAGAGACAGTGCGATTAGCACAGGACAGGGCAGAGTTTAGGGCTGTTGTACATAGGGTCGCTATGAGTCGCAAGTGACTCGACGGCACAACAACAACATGTATTATTATAACATATGTATGTACATGTATGTTGTTGTTATATGCCACAGAATTGCTTGCAACTCATAGCAACCATATGATAACTCTTTAAATTTTTTTTTTTTCTGTAGAGTTGTAATTGACTCATAGCTGACCCTCTGTTGGATTTTCAGAGGCTGTAAATGGAGTAGAAGGAGAATGTCCATCTTTCTCTCATAGAGCAGCTGGTGAATTCAGACCACTAGAGAGATGTTATCTTTGGGTTAATGGGAACTTCCTACACACTGTATCTTCAAAGCCCCAAAAGAGTGTGTGTGTGTGTGTGTGTGTGTGTGTGTGTGTGTGTGTGTGTGTGTATAGATAGATATTACTCATTCATTTTTGTCAAATCAGTTCTAACTCGTAGCAATCCTCCACTGTGTTCCAAGGCCATAAATTGTAACAGAGAGAGACTGCTACATCTCTGTCTCACAAAAGGAACACTAGTGGATTTGTGCTGAGACAGTGTAATGCATTTGGGTTACTAGTGAAACTTGGACAATGCCAGCGTGTGTATACATATATGTTGTTTTTGCATGCCATTGAGTCAGAACTAACTCATAGCCAACCCTCCAAGGGGTTTTCAGAGAATGTAAATTCCACGGGAGGAGATTGCCCATCTTTCTCCTATGGAGCTGAAGGAGGATTTGAAATTCTTGTCTTTGGTCTGGCAATGCAACTCCTTACAACTAGGCTACCAGAGCTTCTTGATACACAAATGTATATACACATTTAAGTATATGTTATTGTAAATGATTTAAATATATACTATATATTTAAACATATATGTAATTGTTAACTGCTGTCAAGTCATAACCAATCTGTAGCTGACCCTCTGGGGTAAGTTTTCAGTGGATTTAAATTGCCCAGGAGGAAAACTGCTCATTTTTCTTCTACTGAGCAGCTGGTAGAATTGAACAATCTGCCTTTGGATTGGAAGCACAACTGCTGACCCCGTAGGCCACCAGAACTGTAAATGTGAATATGTCTACACACACACACACACACACACATACACACACATGCACGCGCGCGCACACACACACTTTTTGTTGTGTCCCATTATGAGAAACCTGTACTTGGACCAGGAAGCAGTCCTCAGAACAGAGTAAGAAAACACTGTATGGTTCAAAATCAGGGAGGGAGTGCCTCAAGGATGCATCCTGCCTCCACACCTTTTCAATCTATATGCAAAACAGATCATTCGGGGAGCTGGGCTTTATGAGGGGAAATATAGCATCAGAATTGGAGGAAGACTCATCAACAACTTAGGTTATGCAGATGACACAACCTTGTTGCTTAAACTGAAGAAGGCCTGAAGCACTTGCTGCAGAACGTCAAGGACTGTAGTCTTCAGTATGGATTGAAGCCCAACATCAAGAAAACAAAGATTCTTATCACTGGGACAATTGGCAGCACCATGATAAATGGAGAGGAGATTGAGGTTGTTGACAGTTACAGGTTGCTTGGCTCCACAATCAACACTCTTGGCACCATCAGTCAGGAAATCGAAAGACTAATTGCACAGGGAAAATCTGCTGTTACGGACTTCTCCAGAGTACTGAAAAGCCTAATTCCAAGCCATGGTGTTCACAATTACTTGCTATGTATCAGAGAGCTTGACAGTGATTAAGGATGACAAGAAGAATTGATGCCTTTGAGTTATGGTGCTGGAGAAGAGTCTTACATACCATGGACTGACAAGAAAACAAACAGTTCTGTCTTAGAGAGGGTGAAACCAGGCTGATCCTTAGAGGCTAGGATTTTGAAGCTCCATCACACATAATTTGGGTATGTGGTCAGCAGGGACCAATCCTTGGAGAAAGACATCATGCTCAGAAGTGTGAAAGGACAGCGCAGGAAGGAAAGACCCTGGAGAAGATGGATTGATACAGTAAATGAGGCAATGGGGGTAGGTGTGTCAGAGTCAGTCTCAGGACAGGGCAGGCTTCAGAGCTGTTGTACATAGGGTCACTATGAGTCTCAGGCAACTTGATGGCACATAATGACAACAACTGGTGTTAAAAGAGCATAGGCATATAATAACAACAACAACAACATCCTTGCCTATCTTAGATATTTTGTATAAATGGAATAATATATTTGTTCAGTTGTTAATCACATTTTTACCATATAAAGTAACATTGACTCTTTGTAATATAGGTTCTGGAGATTAGAAGGTGAGCATAACTTTTGGCAGCTAACATTTAAGCCAACACAGAGATGCTTGCACCTTCCATTCTAGAATTTCCCAAGTCAATTCTGTAGTTGAAATAGTTTGTTAACATTACACTCTGTTATGACACTATATCCTGTTGAAGAATTCAGTGGTGATAACAAATGTAGAAAGTATTTTTAGATGTCACCAAATAGAATAAGTTATAAACAATAAAGGATGTGCAGTTTCATGAAGAAAAAAAGAGTAAAAGTGATTATGATATGTTAGTTATTTGTCAGAAACAGAGAGTAAGAGAAGGAGAATTCAGGAGAACTCAAAGGTAGCTATGTAAAAATGATCCTGGAGTCCCATAGTGTTCCCACACACAAAGATGCTGGCTTTCCAGAGAATTCTCCTGAATTGCAGAAATGGAGTTGCTTACAGTGATGGACTAATTTGGGAAGGATATAAAGAAGCCCTTTAGAGTATCGGAGTATGAGTGGGTTTATAATTAGCAAGAGTGCCCTGCCTCTGTCAAATTAGTTACTATCCCATGTTTCTCTTCCCTCAAAAGGATAAGAGCGTCTTCCTTGTTCTATTGATAGTGTTATGCACATCCCTGCCCAAAGAATAACTGAAGGAAGTGAAGTCAGCCTTAACCTGGTCTTTTGGAATGATGTTGTCTTTCAAAGAATGTGTTACTGTTATTTTATTTTTTTTTAATTGAGAATTTTGTTTGCAGTTTAAATAGATAAAACCCCTGTTGCTGTCATTTATGCTCACAGTGACCTTGTAGGACACAGTAGAAACGCCCTATTGGGTTTTCAAGTTTGTAAATCTTTAGGGAAGTTAAACCCTCCTGTAAGAGAAAATTTATGGATTTGAACTGCCCACATTTTGGTTAACGTAACACTCACTACATCATAAGGGCTCCTTTTATTTTTTCTTAAAAAAATATAGGATTGAAATCTTTGCGTTTTGAAAGTTTACGTTTTATCCTACACTGCTTTTCTGAAAGCCCTACATCAGTACTAGTTTTTGAAGAGGATTTTTCACTTAAGAAAAATGAAAAGCAAAACTAGAGTTCAGCGCTTGTTTTTCAGCAAGACAATAAAGAGGGAGAAGGGTGGTGTAAACCTCCTTCCTTAGGAATTACACAGCATTTTAGCTTCAAGCTACTAAAGCTTTGAACTATGCCTGCAGACATTACAGGCTAGTGTTATTTTAGGTTTTATGTGTTATGATTTCACAGGTTATTTTTGGAAGCTTTGGTGGTGTACATAGTTCACAGGGAGTTACTAAGCCAACGACTGAGCCTCTGTGGTGGTTGTAATGCACCAGCAGGTCCCAGAAGAGAAATATGGACACTTTCCTCCCTTGCAATGAAACCCACTGATGAGTTAGCAGATTCATTAGTCTGACTGCCACAATGAATTTGCAGGGTTTTCCTTGTTATCTTGGAACACTTAAAACACTTAAAACTTTTCCTCATATAAATGAATGATAATTGCTTCTTTCATTTACACCATTTCAACTTATGAAAGGTTTTGTAGGAACATACCACTCTCAGATAGTGGTGGAAACCTGTACTGCTTTATTAACTCTCAGGGCCATGTGGCAGTAGGCAGGGTGGTCAAATGAGTTACCTGGGTTTTAATCGAAACCTCTCTCACTTGGTTGACAAATTCCGAAATGCATGCATTTCATTTTCCTCATCTCTAAGTCATCAGGAGACCCACCTGACCCACCTCACAGGGCTGTTGTGAGTCTCTAATGAAATGGAAACTTTTGGTAAAGCATGAAGTAGGGTTCAAACACAGTGTTGTTATTTCTCTGTGGAGCTGTGGAATGGGGAAGCAGGTGGTTGGGCTTAAAGGAAATTCTAATAGAGAAACTGCACTTGGATGCCAACATTCCTCAGCTGGGTTGACTAAGTTTTTATGGGTGTCAGCTGTTATGTGTCTGTCCCGTTCTGTGAAAGGTAGCCAACTTTTATTCTGTTCACAAGGTCAGTTAATTTTTTCCAGGGGAAACCCTCTATTTAACTAGACTTTTAGGCATTACCAGAGAGTCTGGAGTTTGTACTTTGAATTCACAATACTGCGATGGTTCTGACTTAAGGTGACTATGTTCTCTGTTTGCTATGTGATGATGATACTGATGCAGATTAAATGCACCACAATGTAAATGTAGGCCCAGCACCAGTTTCCTTTGAGTCCTTCTGACTCATGGTGAATTATGTGTGGCAAGATAGAACCATCGCCATGTGGTTTCAATGACTCTTTCTGCCTCTCCCCCCCTCCCCCACCCCCAGTACATCACCAGGCATTTCTTCTGAGGAACCACTGAATAAATAAAACTTAACGGATTTTTGATTAGCACATTGAATGCACATTGTTTATATCACTGAGAGATTAACAACAAAGAAAGCTCCTTGTGTTTTCCTTAGATAAAAAGAATCTATACAACAAAATGTGTATGAAGAATTGAATGAAAACAAATAACATTAGTAAACTTTCACTCAAATAAAAGTGAGAAAATGCAAGATGATTTGTAAACTTTTTTCTCAAACAAAATAGTTTTTAAAAGAAGAAAAAAAAAGAATCTCATCAGGGTTGAGGGTTCTCTTGAAGCTATATTTTGACGTTGAGGTTTTTCTGAAAAGTATAACAAGCTTCTTGGTATTTATTCTGTTATTTTTGATGATGAGATCTGGCAAGGCATACTAATTTGCATCTTGTTAGTCCATAGGGAATTGCACTGCTAACCTAAATGCCATGTGCCTCCCTCTGATAGGCAAAAGATAGGAACTCTCCTCCAGTGCAATTTCCAGCCTCTGAAAACCTACTGGAGGGCTGGTTATGAGTCAGTTACGACTTGATGGAAAGGAGTTTGGTATATAAGGAGCCTAGTGGTGTAGTGTCTCAGGCTGCTAACAGAAAGGTCAACAGTTCAAATCCACTAGGTTCTCTGAGAGAAAAAACCGGGCTGTCTCTTACAGTAAAGATTTACCGCTTCAGAAACCTAATGGAGGGTGGCTATGAGTCAGAGCCAGCACAAAACCAGTGGGTGTGGGGGGTTTCTATATAAAAATCTTCTCCCGTAGGTGTCCCTGTGCACATTTCTGCTCATCATCTTCACAAGCTCTTACAGAACAGCGCCAGTGATGTCACATCCAGGTACTTCAATGTCAGCGACTTGACAGTGAAAGAAGATCTCAGCTCTTGTTATGAGCATGTATGGACACTCTCCTGGGCCACCCAGATTGGGGATTTGCCCATTTCTATTGGGGTATGTACACTATGCATCTTAATGGTACTTGTTTTCAGGCATGGAGCAGCTTGTACAAAAACGAACAATAAAAAAGGGAATTAGAAAGTGAAAGTTGTCATGAATTGTTCATTTTGTTGAAATATATTTAAGAGAATAAGTTCCTGCAATTTTTCTTCCTGGAAGTTTTTCAACTTTATTTTATTTTTTAAATTTTTTTTTTTTTATCTCACATCCCTAATGAAACCATTTAAATCCCCCGTTTTCTTTTCCATCTCTCTTTTGGTAGACAAGCTGTTGGTCAGTGTTCACCATACAATAATTCTACATCTGTTATTGGGTAATTTAAGCAGATGCGATCGCCTTAGATTATCATGGAGGCAGATGGCACAGCAGAAGGAAGTTTGGAAAAGGATTTGCTGTCTTTGGATAATGACAAAACCAGCTGTGGTTGCATATTTAGGGTTTTAAAAAATAATCTACTGATCATCTAGCATTTGGTTACTATGACATGAAGGCCAAGATGAAATTTTACCCCCATCATCTGGTTTTCAAACAAGATACTTGGGTTGAGGTAGAACAAAGATGGGCATCCTACAGTTTATTTCATCAGACTTGTTTTATTACATTCTATTTTATATGTGTCACATTGCAAACATATTTAAGAAAAATATCCTCATGTCCTAGAGAGAACATTAGGTAGTGTGCCTCTTCCAACAGCTCCACCAGCAAATAAATATTCCTCTGGTCTATTGATGATTTTATTGGACTTTCTTTAGTCTCAGGTTTCAAAATTTTAAGTCTCTCTCCCTCAGTTTCACTACTTTAGCTGTTTGGTTTTCTTAACCAGAGTAGGAAAGACCAATTATCCTTTTCTAAAAGCAAAATTAGCCTTTGTTCCAGGGCAGAAATCATTAGAAATGTAACCATTGCAGGTCACGGATGAAAATCTAACTGGAACGAACCCCGCTGTGACAACTCGGGTGCTATATGATGGTGGAGTTTTTCTCGGACCCATATTTGGAGATATGCTGGCTACTGCCCACCGGCACACGCAGGTGAGTGTGGTTGGGACACTCAGAATGCAGGCCTTCATCTAACTCAGCCCCTTGATGATTGATAATGAGGCATGACTGGTTTCACTCCCAAGGATTGATCATTTTCCCATTCAGTGAAACGAGGAGAACAACAATTCTGCCCCCTCACCCACCCTTTTACTACAGAATCTGTAAAATGCTAGGAAAATGTAAGTTGTTTTATAAATATAATGTTGAATTATCATAATTGTTCATGGTATTATAGTTAAAAATAGAGAACTTTTGTAGCTAAATATGATGTTACACTGTTGAATTGGGAAGTAAATAAGCTGGTTGATCATGGTTGCTGTGAAGCTGAACACTGTGACACTGATGTGTCAAATGTGATAATGGTTACCCATGGTGGACAGTGTTTGGTGGAACTCCTCGATTAAACAAGCTTGGAACCATGAGTGGCATCCACTTCTGAAATAGCTTGCCCCCGGAAACTCTATGAACCTGGAAATGATGAAAGTTATACAAGTGTTCAGGTCTTTTGCTCATAAAGTCACTATGAGTCGTCTATGACTCAATGGCAGTTAAAACAGCAGCAACCCATATTCTTGTTATAAGTCATCTGATTTTAATTTGAGAAACAATTTAAATAGAAAATTGTAAAGTACAAGGTAACTTGCACCCATATACCTAAGCTGAGATTTGGCAGTTTTCAGTGATTCGATGCATTTATTTTGTCCTTATAAATCAATCAATATATGAAAAAGAGGTATTCATTTCATTGATGCCTTCTGATTCTCCTGCTGTCTACAAAAATACACAAAACCCCTTGTTTTCTAGGCCCTTCCAACTTAACAGCAACCCTCTAAGAGCTATGAGAGCTGCCACAAAAGGGTTTCTAGGACTCTATCCTTAGTAGAAGTTGCCACATCTTTTTCCCACGGCTGTTGGGCTTTCACTGCAGACCTTTTTTCTTAGCAGCCAGGCATTTAGCTACTGTGCCACCAGTGCACTTTCAGCTCTTTAAACACTCATAAATATACTGTACTTGCTTTTAATCCTTTTTTTTGTTATTTGTACAGAGGCAAATGAGTCATATCTATTTCATTTTCCTCATCTCCACATATTATTTGAGTTCTAGTAGATGAACAATAAGGACCTCTGGTGGTGTGGTCTATACAAGTCATGCTGACAACGAAAAAACCTACAGTTAGAATTCACTGACTGCTTCTCAGGAACAAGATATGCAGTCGCCTTTTATAAAGACATATAATCTCCAAATCGAGTTGGAGAGTAACTACTAGTTGGAACAGACTCGATGGCAGTAGTATTTTTTAAATTTAGATTAACATTTGTTGTTAGGGGTTGTCGAGTCAAGTAAGACACATAGTAACCCTATGAACAACAGATCTGAACCCTATTCTATCCTGTGCCATATCTCTGACATACTTGAGCCCATTGCAGCAGTCACTGTATCAATCCATTTGACTGATGGTATTCCTCTCTTTTGCCCACCCTCTATCTATCCAAGAATGATGTTCTTCTCCAAGGAATAGCCTCTCTCAACAAAATCTGCACTATAAATAAGAATAACAGAGGAATTGATGCCTCTGAGCTTTTGTCTTGGAGAAGAGTGCTGAATATCCCATGAACTTCCAAAAGAACAAAAAAATATGTCTTGGAGAAAGTACAAAAAATTAACATTAGTTTCAGTGAACGAGTATTATTTAGGACCTACCATTCATGACAGGTTCTCTGGTGGTCTAATGGTAAGTAGCTGTGCTGCAAACCTGAAGGCATGCAGTTCAAATCCACCAGCTGCTCCATGGGAGAAACATGGGTGATTTCCTCCCATGTGATTTAAATGAAATCTATATCAAGATCAAGAAATTGTCTGGACAGACCAAGGGAACACTGTATGGTTTAAAATCAGGAGTGTGTCAGGGATATATCCTTTCTCCATATCTGTACAATCTATATGCTTGCTGAACAAAATGTGTGAAGCTGAGCTCTAGGAAGTAGAATATGACATCAGGATTGGAGGAAGACTCATCAATAGTCTGTATTATGCAGATGACACAACCTAGCTTGCTGAAATGGAAGAGTAATTGAAACACTTCCTGCAGAAGATTGAGGACTTTAGTATCGATTACATCTTAATACCAAGAAAACAAAGGTCATCACCATTGAACCAATAGACCACATCATGATAGATGGACAAAGGTTTGAAATTTTCAATGATTTCATCTTTCTTGGCTCAACAATCAACACACTTGGTTGTCAGGAGACCAAGAGACTTATTACATTGGGCAAGTCTGATGTCAGGGATCTCCCCAAAATACTTAAGAGCAATGATGTCTGTTTGAAGACGAAGGCGCACCTTATTCAGGCTATAGTCTTTTAAATCACTTGCTATACATCTGAAAACTGCATAATAAATAAGGATGATAGAATAATTGATGCCTTTGAATTGTGATGTTGGAGATGGTTATGAAATATCTCATAGATTGCCAAAAGACAGTTGTTTTTTTAAGTCAGTCAAAGTGCTCCTTAGAGTTAATGATGGTGAAGCTTCATCTCATACATTATTTTAATTGTTAAATTCTCCATTTTTTGGTCAATTCATCTCTTCCTCTCTTTTTAAAAAATATTTTTATTTTATTTTTTAATTGATATTTAAACAAAAGCTTACAGAAAACTTGAATTTCCATTCATTCACTATTATACATTTTCCTCCCTACCCTCCTAGTTTGCTTTTCTCTTTAAAAGAAGATTCTTTCATTGTTACACATATACCTTATTGGTTTGTGTATAATCGTTCATATATATAATGTTTTGCATTTATACATTGTGTTTTACATAATCATTCATATATTCACACTTCTTCAAGGTTAATCACAGTTTGTTGTGATCCACACAGTTAAATGCCTTTGCATAGTTAATGAAATACAGACAGGCATTCCTCTGGTACTCTGCTTTTTGCCAAGTTCCATCTGACATTGGTGATATTGTCTCTAGTTTCCAAACCCAGCTTGTGTTTCTGGTAGTTTTCTGTTAATGTACTGTCCCAGCCACTTGGGATAACCTTCAGCAGGATTTTGCTTGTGTGTGATACCAGTGATATTGTTTGATAATTTCCATACTCCATTGGGTCACCTTTTTTTTTTGCAATGGGAATACATATGGATCGCTTCCAATCAGTTGGCCAGTTAGTTGTCCTCCAGATTTCTTGGCACAGCCTGTTGAGCATGTGCATTGGACTGTGTGGATCACAACAAATTGTGGCTAACCTTGAGGAGAGTGAGAATTTCAGAACACTTGATTGTGTTCATGTAAAACCTATACTTGGAAGCAGTCCTCAAAACAGAGCAAGAAAACTTTGGGTTGTTCAATATTAGGAAAGGAGTGTGTCAGGGATATGTCCTGTCTCCATATCCTTTCAATGCATATGTAGAACAGATAATTCAGGAGGCTGGGCTTTATGAGGAGGAATGTGGCAACACGACTTGAGGAAGACTCATCAACCTACGTTATGCAGATAGCACAACCTTGCTTGTTAAAACTGAGGAGGACTTGAAGTGCTTGCTGCAGAAGGTCAAGGACTATAGTCTTCAATATAGATTGAAACTTAATATCAAGAAGATAAAGATTCTCACCACTGGGCCAATTGACAGCACCATGATGGACAGTGAAAAGATTGAGGTTGTTAACAATTTCAGCTTGCTTGGCTCCACAATTTACACTCTTGACACCAGCAGTCAGGAATTCATAAGACAAATTACACTGGGAGAAATCTGATGTCAAGGACCTCTTCAGAAAACTGAAAAGCAACAAAGTTAGTCTAGAGACTAAGGTGCACTTAATCCAGGCCATGGTCTTTGCAGTTACTTGCTACACATCAGAGAGCTGGACAATGACTAAGTATGACAAGAAAAATTGATGTCTTCAAGTTGTTGTGCTGGAGAAGAGTCTTGAACATATTACGGACTGCCAGGGAAACCAATAGTTCTATTTTGGAGAGGGTGAAACCAAGTTTCCCATTGGAGGCAAGGATTTTTGAAGCTTTGTCTCACATACTTTGGGCATGTGGCCAGGAGAGACAGGCCTTGGAGAAGTATCATGCTTGGAAGGGTGGACAGACAGCACAGGAGAGGAAGACCCTGCATGAGATGGATTGATACAGTAAGTTTGGCAATGGGGGTAGGTGTGTCAGAGTCTGTGAGACTGGCTCAGGACAGGGAAGGGTGTAGAGCTGCTATAAACAGGGTTGCTATGAGTTGTACTTAACTCAATCTTAGCTAAATACCATCAGCGCCACCAGCATTCTAGGACCAAAAAAGACCCAAATGCAAATATGCCCCCTTGTTATCTCTGTGTTACTTCATGCACATAGCAACCTCATAGGGCAATATAGTACTGCTATAAATTTTCCATGACTCTATCTAAGCAAATGTCAAGCATTTTTTTTCCTCTTCCAGAGTTGAGTGTGTTCGAACCACCAACCTTTTTCTTAGCAACTGAGTACTTAACCTTTGTGCTGCCAACGGTGATTACATAGTCATGTAGTGATGGTTCAGGGAAAGGGCCTGCTTTATTGGCAGGAAATGAGTATTTAATAGAAAATACAGAATGTTATAAAGTTTTTATGCAATTTTGCCTATATTAACTTTACTTCTATACAAGACAGACAGGGAATTTATTTTAGGTTTGTTGTGTTGTTATGTGCCATCAAGTCGCTTGTGACTCATAGCGACCCTATGTACAAGGGCTCTAAACACCGGTCTATATACCCATCATAATTTTAATACAGCTTCACAAGTTTTGGGCCATTCATTATAATTTGGGATTTATTACCAGAAAAATAGAAGCAAAGGAAATGAGCCTAAGTAAATCATTGATACATTTTAATTTTGTGAAACTCCACAAGTACTTTCTAAATGTTTTTGTGCGTATGGAATGGAACACATACACTTGTTTTCAATTCATGTTTTTCAGGTGGTTGTGCAAGTGAATGATATACCAGCCCATTGCCCAGGCTCCTGTTCATTTCAGTACCTCTACAGCTCAACTCCCCAGGTCCATTCTGCACAGTATGATATTGGTATGATCTGTGACTTGGCACTGAATTGGGCATGGACTTTAGACTTAGGGTAGTTTTATCAGAAACCATTTATCTAGTGATGGGGTAAATAGAGGACACATCAGTCCATGAAGTGAATGCTAACTAGTACAGCAGAAAGTGTGGGGTTTTTCTGGGGGGGTGGGTTTAAATACTTGGTCATTAACGGTAAGTTCAGTGTCAAACCCACTCCATGGGAGAAAAGACTTTGCAATTTGCTTTTGTCAAGATTATAGACAAAGAGAACCTGTGAAGCTGTTTCTGCTCCTTCGGATGAGGTTATTCTGAGTTGGAGTGGATACTGTGGCATGCAACAGCAACGGTCAAAAGGAAAAATGGCCATGATTTGGAAATGGATACAAGTGGCTTTTAATGGTTTTATGCTATTTCCTTTGACCCATGGTTTGAAATATGCTTTAATTTCATTTCATTTTCATTATCTATAGAAAATGATCTCTCATCACTTGCTTAAGGGAATTTTAGGTGGAGGCTATGTCGTCCAAATATCTAGTATTTAAGTCAGCATTTAATTCCCTGCTTTTGGGAGGCCCAGATGAAAAGAAATATACTTTTGATGTTAGAATGGAGTGATAGCATTGACAGATGATTTTGTTTCCTTGTTTTTCTTCTTTTAAGACAATGACATCAATCTACTGATTTATTTTATTGGAACTGGTTTCTCTGATGACTCCCAGGCCTTTCAGATTATAGTGAAGAAAACAAGTTGTGAAGTTATTTTCTCCAACTTAACATTTGTGGTTTGTCGTATGGATGTGCTACCCGTCGGTGTACATGAGATCTCCATGTTGGTGAGACCCTCTGGTCTTGCTATTAATGCCAGTGGAAGAGGCATACTCTTATATGTGAAGCCCAGGCTGGATGCTGTGGAACCTCCCAGAGCTGCAGAGATCGGTAATTGGAGGAGGACACTATACTCCATCTGCCCTTCTGAATAAACCTTCTGGCTGTTATACAGGGGTCTAGTTCTGCCACGTGATTGATTCTGTATCCACTATGATTCATAACTTTGCTGTTTTCTGCCATCAGCATTTGTTCTAATGAAGAACAGACATTTGGTCCCTTAACTGAACTTATTTTCTACATAAAGGATCATAGCTTGGCTGGCAATATCAGGCATAATTAGATTAGTCACTGAGTCAGCTGGATTATTTAGTCTAGTGCAAAGATTGGAGGTGAGGGGCTGTGTCTGGGGTTTGTCCTATTCTAAGTCAGATGAATGACCTTTGGACTTGCAGTTACTTTGGTGGTACTTGCTTTCCCGATGATGGTAGCTATTGTATAATTTATTGAACTTTTCATCTAGATGCTTTTAATTCTCCAAAGTGGAATCAAGTATTCATATTTTTCAGATAAGATGGTGGTGGTTTTAAGAAATGAGGGATTTTCCAGAAGGTTTACAATGGAGGAAAGTTAGAGCTAAGGAAAAAAAAACCCTCAAGATTATCTGTTGCTCGTGTTCTTGTTTGGTTTTGTTTTGTATAATTTCATGCTGTTTTGTTTGTATAGTGAGGCTAATGATGCTTCACATATATGACTTCTGGTCTTGTAGGAGATTAAATTGGGCCGAATTTAAATTGATGGGAAAGCCCCTTGAAAGGTGAAAGCACTTGGACAAATGTGAAATGATGCACACTTGGATACGTGCTGGCAGGTAAACTGACTGCCATCTGTGTAGCAGGGCTATAGTAAGTCATAGGTCCTGTCAACACTTAGACCTGTAGATAGATCCTAGTGGGTGAAAAAACTGGGGGTCTCAATGCCTTGCTGTTTTCTGAGGAACATGGCCAGGTAAAAATCATCCTTCTGAAATCCCACTGGAGGGTCAGGTATGAGTTGGTTCTGGCTTAATGGTGATGAGTTGCTTTAGAGTTTCATGCATGAGCTGTCATGTGAATTTGCTATTTTCATAAGGTACAAAATAATCATCTTCAGAAGATGTATCCTTTCTTTTGCAGCATTGTACAAAAGTATTTTATTATCCTTGCATTGATTCATTAAATCTGGTTTCAGAAACTATTTTATGTATTGATAGTTGTGCTTCTATGTTTTATTTTTCAGTATCTACAGAAATATGCTACTACTTTTCACTGCCCTCTGGCTACCATTTCTCTTTTTTTGTATGGTATGCTATATATTTGACCTCAGTCTTTTTCTACAGTTTGAGGGTTGTGGTTCATTTTGAAAAATCAGAGATATTCATGCTTTATTAATTTTATTTAATCTCTCTTGGGGGTTGCTTAATTTTTTTTCCTACCCAAATGGTTGTGAATCTCATCTAAAATTTTTGTTGTTGTTTTTGTTCCAGGAGGTCTCTGGGCCACCATCCGAGGCTTTGGCTTGGAAGATGTTAACCTGGTGTTATTTGGGTCTCAGTCTTGTGCCATGAATGTCAACACAAGCAATTCACAAAGAATTCAATGTAAAGTTCCACCCAGAGTAAGTGGAATTTCCTGGCATCTTCTTTTCTCTGGATGAATTACCAGTATTACTACATAGCATCAAGTTTTGATTGAATCACTTCTTGGAACAGAATTAGCTGATAGAACCTCTCATCCTGAAAGTTTGTTTGTATTGCTTGTGAAGTGGGAAATATTTCCCTCCAATAGAGCATCTTATTCGTATTAGTTAATTCCTTTAAAAGAAAACAAGCTGGCAGTCCCAATTTTTGTTTCTCAGTTTCAGCCTCATGAAAACCTGGCCAATCTACTCATCAGTAGTCTGCACACCTTATTTGAATGCTCTCACATGTGGCAAATCAAAGCCGATGACTGAATTTTCAGAGATCAGTGTCACTTATTACCTATGGAATACATATAACCCCATCTCCTGTATTTCTTGTCAACATTTTATCATCTTCCTGTTTTCTCCAGCTCTGACAGACAAAATGGGGCTGAATCCGATAAGCTAGCAAGTCTCAGACTGCTTGGGTTTAAAAACTAGTTCTAGCAATGTGATATTAAAACAATTGCTTGGTTCTCAGGCCAGAGTTTCTTCATGTTAAAATAGAGATGACAGCAGATACACAGTAGTATATTTTGTTATTGTTAGGTGTTATTAAGCCCACCACAAACTCACAGTAACCCTATGACCAACAGATTACAACTTTGTCCTGCCCTGAGACATCCTCATGATTTTCACCATGTCCAAGCCCATTATTATTATTACAGTCACTATAATAACAGCCCAAGACTATTATTATAGTCACTGTCCCATTCCAGCTTGTGGAAGGTCTTCTTCTAATTCATTGACACTCTGTCTTTCTTATTGTGATGTATTTTTCTGAGTATTAGCCCCTCTCCTCTCAGCAACATGCCCAAAGTATGTGAGACAAATTGTAACTGTCCTTTCCTTTAAGGAGCATCCTGGTTGCATTTCTTGCAAGACAGAATTGCTTGTTCATATGACAGTCCATGGTGTATTCAATACTCTTTGTTATCACTAAAATGCAAAGGTTTTTCTCCTTCCTCCTCCTCCTCCTCATTTTAAAAATACCATCAGGCACACCTTAATCTTTAAACTAACATCCTTAACTTTGGAGAGGTATTTGACAACAGTTTTTCTCATTTTAACATGTCTTTTGATTTCTTGATTGTTGCTACAATGCTTGTTAATTGTGGATCCAAGTAAATGATGTACACTACCATGCTAGTTGAAGGAAAAGACTGAAATTGCCAATTATTTCATTTAACTTGGTAAAAAACATATTGTGATGGGAAAGTCTGCATTTTAGGGACCTCTCCAAAGTATTGAAGAGCAATGGTGTCACTCTGGAGACTAAGGTGTGTCTGATACAGGCCATGATCTTTGCAATCACTTGTTATGCATCAGAGAGTTGGACAATGACAAGGGAGGATAGAAGGAGAATTGATGCTTTTGAGCTGTGGTG